AATCCTACTTCCGTAGTGATACTGCCTCGGAAACCCAAGGAGGGGTCGCTATGAGTCGGGTTTGACTCGACGGCACATAACAACAACAACATGCTTTAAGTGGGAGTCCCTGGGTGGTGCAAATATGCTTGGCTGCTAATAGAAGTGTGGGCAATTCCAGTCCATGTGTACCCTCCTCAGAAGAAAGGCTTGGTGATCTACTTCCAAAACACCAGCCATTGAAAATCCTGTGGAGTGAAATTCTACTTTGAGGTACATGGGGTCACCATAGGTCAGAATGTATTAGGTGGTAACTTACAGGCAAGAAACAAAAAAATGGTTATGTTAAATAGGAGCTCTGGTAGCATAGTGCCTAAGGCACTTGACTGCTAATCAGAAGGCTGGCAGTTCAAACCCACCAGCCACTACTCAGAAGGAAGGTTGGGCAATCCTACTTCTTTAGTGATACTGCCTGGGAAACCTAAGGAGGGGTCACCATGGGCTGACTCCACGGCACATAACAACAACAACATATAGTTCAATGATTTACATATGATTAAGCCACCTTTTGGGAGCTCTGATAGCCTAGTGCCCAAGGCACTTGACTGCTGACCAGAAGGCTGATGGTTCAAACTCACCAGCTACTCCTCAGAAGGAAGATTGGGCAATCTACTTCCGCAGTGATACCGCCTTGGAAACCCAAGGAGGGGTCCCTATGAATCGGATCCAACTCAACGGCAGTGAGTTTCGTTTTGGAAGCCACCTTTTAAGTATTTCTTACAGATGTTTCAGGAGCCCTAGTGGCATAGTGGTTAAAGCACTTAGGTGCTAACTGAAAGATTGATACTCAAACCCACTAGCTGCTCCACAAAAGAAGGGTATGGCAATTGGCTTCCATAAAGATTTGTTGTTGTTATGTGCCATCGAGTTGGCCCCGACTCATAGTGACCCCTCCTTGGGTTTCCGAGGCAGTATCACTACGGAAGTAGGATTGCCCACCTTCCTTCCAAGGAGTCAATCTATTTCCGTAAAGATTTAGCACCTTGAAAACCCTATAGGGCAGTTCTGTTCCACCCTGTAGGATTGCTGTGAGTCAGAAAAGACTCAGTGGTAACATGTTTTT